TGTTACAGAAATATATTTGTGTTAGTGTGCAGCTGGACTCTTCAATTCGATAAAATACTTTTGTTGGTGATCTTATAACATGCGTTGTTCGCTTGGCAGTTGGCACAAGTTGGTTGTTAGTGCATTGCAACGTCATAGGCAATCCTTTGCAACGCGAGGGGAATGGAATTACTCGTACGTATCAGATTGAACTAAATTAAAAATTCGTTTCGCGGGCCGCACGCTATTCAAAATTGGCACTTTTCCGCGGGCCGCACATTTTTTTCCTCGTGGGTCGCATTTGGCCCGCGGGCCGCAGGTTGCTAAACAAGTATCAGGCCGTGGAAGTTAATACCTATTACAAGATCAATAAATTCAGTGATTTCGGAAATTACAATGAATGCGCTCATGATTATCTCTCTGTTTTGTACTAAGTTCAAGTTTATTGATTCGCTTAGAATAGTTGTCTTAATCCTTACCATATTTCCCGTTTCATTTTAAGCTCACAGGTCTATAGTGGTATAAAAGCGCATGAAAATAGAGAAGTAGGATTAGCAGTTAGCCTCACAGAACTACAATCGATGGATAAATTGTTAAATAAAAATGGAAAATACAATATGGAGCTTGAAATAAAAGTTTATGATTAGAAATCATGACCAACTCAAAATTATACGATTCCATTGATTATAGGAGAGAAAAATTACTTAGGCTATATCGTTATATATTTTCGATTTGGACTGTGTGTTTGTATTGGAAACTGAAGACATTAGCGAAAAAAATAGAGAACATGTAGTTTTGATTTACTATCGCTAGTGGTGAAGTACATCGGAATCGCACTAGGCATAAAAAACGCATTCCCGAAATTCGCTTTTGTTCTTGACAGGAAGGCCTGGTATATACGCCACTTTCCAAAGTGTTTCATCACACCTCAGAATTGCGGGGGCCGGGGGTGTCTGAAATTTCCGTATGTTTTCAACATTTGAAACTGGAACGCCTAGAAAATTACGGTATGTTGTGTGTACGGTATGAGTGAGTTGTAATCTTTATGATAATTAAGGTAAAGCATCTGGAACAAACAATGTAGAAAACTAGAGTTGAAGAAAATTCACACTCTATCAGTTTTAAAGTCCGGGTTGACAAAAATTGGGACCAGACTCCACGTTGGAAATGATCTCGACCCCAAGTACAGCTCAGAACTCCAAAAGAAAACCCTTTTATAATTATAAATACTGAGGCACATGTAAGCTTTATTTAATTCTTAATTGAAAATCCCAATTCAAATAAAAACTTGAGTTGTAGTAAAGAACATTTGATTATCATTATTAGGAGTATGAATATCTGAATTATGCAAAATGGCAGTGTGGCACATCAGGCTATGCGTTAAGCTTACAATCGGTGCTTATATATCAATCTGAGAACTTTTAGGTGTAAGAAATTCTCTGAAGTGCACGGACGATATTTTGAGCATATATGAGTTTAATATATCATATGCCTTTAAAAAAATTGTTGCTGTTTTAGCAAATTTTCTGTTTTTCTAGCGACCACCCTGCAGAATTCAAGAATCGGTAAAGAGCATTTCCAATCCTGCAATAAATTGTGCCGGGGACGCTAGCCGACTTATCGCGCTCCTAATATTTGGTCAATTGTTTGTCTGTTTATATGCCACTCTCATAACAAACATGGCAGTACGTTGAAGGTATTGATAGTCAAAATTTAGATTGCATATTAATCGACTATTTAATTGGTGCACATTAATTATTCAGTGAAATATATATATTATATATATATTAATTAACAAATATTTCGCAAACCATTGTTATCGTTAAAGCTAAAATGAAATATTCGATCTGCACTGTTATAAAACACAAGTTGGTCAAATAGCAAATGGGCGCATTGTTGTAAAATGGCAAATTGGTCGTGATTCATACTTCCTATTTAGAGAAAAGAAAATTCCATTTTCCCAATCAGATTTACTTTTGAATATTTGAATTATTCAGCCTACCTCAATTGAATTAATTTCTACATATCAAGCTTGTCGGTTTTTTGAACCCGATGGGAAAAGGACATTGTTGTGAAAATTTGCGAAAATGGATTTTGAAACTTGACGCGGCAATATCAAATGGTGACTCCAAAGTTGATTTTGAAGGCGTGAGATTCCGCCGGTACGCTATATAAATTCTACCTACACTACTGACTACGAGTGTAAAATTGGAAATATATTTTGAAGCACCACATTCAACATGTAATATGATAAACAAAGCTCAATTTTACTTGTTTTTTTACCAATAAAAATAATTACATCGCATGTCATTCGAAAGATTCGTTAGTCACGAAACCGGCATTAAACCTTAACCGTTGACGACAATACAGGAAGTATCTATCTACGTAGTACTGAGTAAGCATGACTCCATCTGCCATCGATATTTCGGGTTTCTATTTACGTAGACGAAAGCACAAGACAAAGTTTTCGTTGTTCGTCAAATCCGTGAATATTGTTTTAAAGCATTCACCTTGTTCTCGATATATTAGTTCAAAAGCGATGGCTCTCTGACCTATCCCGAGTGGTTAATATTACTTTCAAATTGAAAATTATTAAGGGTTACTTCCAGTTTTACCTCGTGGACGAGTTTTAACATTTCATCTAATAAAAGTGATTCACAATTTTATTGTGAAAAATAAAGAGATGTGTATGCAAAAATTCAAAAAACTCTAAATCGCCCGACTGACAATAAGTGATACGCTTTACCGCAACTAAACACTGATCAAATTACAATTACCAGAACGCATAGAGATCAATAAATTAGTCGATATGATTTGTCTTCGTCAGACATAGTGATCTTTCAATAAACACAATATCTCTGATGCTGAATGCCATATAAAGTTCACAATCGAATTACTTCAGTAACATATGAATGAAAGAACACTTGTAATTTTAGTCAAACTACAACGAAGAAATATACTAAGAGGCGAACTAGTGTGAGCGGGTGGGATCCCTTGATCAGACTTTTTTATTAGCTCTGAAATTTCGAACCGACACGAGAGCTTGTTGTGGTAAATCATATAAGGAAATAAATGGTGGTTGAACTTTGTATTGTAGCAATACAACATAATATTCTGTTAGCAGTCGGTGGTTATAAATTGTACGGAAATTAGCAGTAACCATATTTTACGGATGAGCATTCTTGGTAAGGACTATCTTGGCAAATGAGACTGTGTTCTTTCCCCCTCTCCGGGTCGTTCTGTACTTGCGGTCCAAGATGTTACTGTTCAGTGTCAAAGATCTGTCACTGTATAGGAGAATGTTATTATATATATAGCAAATGAATGGGATTTCCCGGGATATTTAAGAGTTTGATTAACTCGTCTCTGTCTTGCAAAGTCGTTCGTTCACCTCTCTGCGCCAACGCCCACGTGAATGAAGATACCTTAGAATTCTCTATTTGATTTTATTCGTTGATTACCACGATACACAGTATACGATCTTATGACTTTTATCCAGACTAGCTTAACATTCAAAGATATTTACGCTAGATATACTTAATCGAATAGCGAATAATGTTCAAAAACCTGATATCGTTGTAAACTTCAACTCACAATATCTTAATGTGGGTAATTATGTACTTCGTACGGATGGGAACTTACATATAATTATTTCTATTTGTGTTTAAATATCCTGAGAAAATAAATTCTACTTTGATAATGGCAGAACGAAACCTGTTCCTAAAAGCTAAAGTTCTGTAATTTGATTCCTACGAAAGCCTTTTGGAAAACCACCAAACTGTTAAGAATTTTGGGGAAAATTAACTTTGTTTTTATAATTTGTAACTGAAATTGGGGTACTCTGGAGCGTTTATGCTATAGTCATTACGGCCCGTTCTGGAAGTGCTGTACTCGCTCAGCTAAAACAGCCTAGGCCCGTCAACAGGCCTCCTCGAGCCAGTGGCGATAGCCAACACCCAATTGGACGCTTCGTTGATCCGTCTGAGAAGGAAGTGCCAGTTTGGATGAATAATGAAACAGACCATGATGCTGTCATCTTCAATTGACATAGCTCAACCACATTTTGTCCGCCAAGTTATTGTATTTTTTGTTTCGGTAATGTGACGGACCCGTACGTTTAAATTTATACCACCATTATTTGATCTTACAGATAGATTTTTTTATTTCAATGTCCGAGACACTAAAGCGCTGTGGCACTGTTAGTCTGTCTTTTGTTCGTATTGAGTTGTTTTTAGCTTGTTTCGTAAACAATTAGTTAGTTAGCTATAACGTACCACTCGGGTTTCTCCCCGATTTTGGCTGTTCGTAATTTTCAAATTTGTCTTCAATTGTAAGGTAATAAATTAAATTTCAATAGCAATATAGCATTAATTAAAATGAATATTGAGAAAAAGATTGACATTAGACCCTATTAAAAAATATTTCGCACTGGGAAAAGTCATACATAGATTGGCGGCACGCTACACTTTCATGACGTATTTAAATATTGATTAGGGATGACCTTGGCAATCAAGATAAACAAAAAGACCTGGCTTGTCTAGTAACGCAATGAGTAATAACGTTACTAGACTAGTAAATATGCCAATTTTAGTGTGATTGTAAAGCTCCTATCAATATTTAAATACATAATGAAGGATAACGTATGAGAAATCTGCTACTATTAATACTTGGCAAGTTAAGGTTATGTCCATTATTAGGGTAAAGATGATTTAGTAACACTCGGCATTTTAAATGCGAGTTTTTTATATGTGTAATTTGCAATGTCAATGCTCAACTTTAAATAACATTTGTATAACTTGTAGGCCTACTTCTACTTGTAACCTACTTCTATTTGTTTGCATTGGTCGATGACTGTATGTAACCTTTCATGATTTGAACGTCGCTCAAGGTTTTAGCTGTACTGCGAAACTTGATCCTTGAAAGGAAATATCTCATGTGTGACGTTCGTAATATCCAGTATGAAGCTTTCTTGGTTTGTATTTCAAACATAGTTTTGTCGGTTTCTGTATACAGTGCGGCGATGACGGTGTTTGTTCAAAGCGTGTCGCAAATTCTCAAGTTTATGGTAATGATAGAAGAGTCGCGCCGGACTACTCTTGCAATTTGAGCTCCAAATAGTAGCCATTGTAGGGTTATGAAGAAAAGGAGGAATGACTGTAGAAAGCTATGTTTTTATAATAAAAAAGATTTTGTATGTCTTGATTCAGACTTGCACGATTGATATTTCATGACGATTTTTCGAATCTTACCGAGGAGGTTAAAATCGTTACAGTAGCCGATGGCCTTGTCTGAAGAAAGTCGCAAGTCTTAGTTTATTGTTGGAATTTAACTTCAGTTGCGTACGTCGTATGGAATTCGACAGTAATACATTTATAGAATCTTATCGATATCTAGTGACTTCGAAAAATAGTTGGCAGCTTGATAACAATGAAAATTGGGAGTGTAGGGAAGATCCTCAATAAAAGGTTTGATTGTGGAAAATTTTCGATTTCACTGTGTAGATACGGCAAGTAAGAATATTTCTCTATTCCGTATCCATGGGCGTGTAACTTTTCTGCTGATGTTATACATGAGAATGAATAAATTAAAGGCCAAGTTAGAGTGAAATGGTCGTACTATTAATTAAAACTTTAAACCAAGATATCGTGTATAGTAGGTCGGGGGAAGTCGGATATCAAACGCATATATAAGCAAAAAGCTTTACAGCTTGGATCATCTGCCCCCTACAACGTGCTGTCGGACGTTGCAATCAATCATATTGCTATCGTAAATCTACCATTCTGTCGACAGAAATAATGCACATAAAATACCCACATGCTTACGCTTTTACTATATGTCTACAATTTCAGTTTACTGTCAAACATTTAAAGCATTAAAGTCCATGGAGAACTTATTGCCATCAGTAAGCCATTATGAGGACGAGGCTCGAAGAAAGTTATCGCAACATGATTTTGGCTATTTTGCTTTTGCTGCAGGAGCAAGAGAAACCATGAAAGAAAACTGTGAAGCATTTAAAAGGAAAAATAATCATTGTTTAGCTCAGCGGTTCCCAAATGGTGTACGCGAAAATTAACAGAATTGTGTAAAACATAACTAAAATATGATTAAATATATTTTACATATTGTATTCATCGTAAATGTTTTATTGTTTCTTATTGTAAATGTTGTGTAGTAGATGAATCAATGACTTGATGTTACTTTTCTATGCCGTTTACTTCCTGTTACGTAGTGTCTGTCTCTATTGTTACGTAATAGACACTACATGCTGCAGTTTATTCATCTGCTGAACCGAGTTTAGCGAACATAAGTGCATTTTTCAGCATTTCAAAGTAAAATATGGCAGAGATGAGGAAGAAGAGTTGACCTTTTGCCTTTATTCCTCGGGCCTTCATGTTTACAAACTTAAAAAAACATAAAGTACACATTAACGATCACGCATTACATTTTATTTGAAAGGAGCATTTTATTTCGTGTAATTGCGCCGTGAGTCTTTCCCCTGGTAATTTGGGCCGCACGAACGAAACGTTTGGGAACCGCTGGTTTAGTTCTTACAACTCATTGGACGGTAACTAATTTTGTGCGATATCTTGAATACGCCAAGTGAAGTCGAAATATCTGATTTGGGATATCACAAAAACTTTGCACATTTTATAGTTTTTGAATCGAAATTTAAAGCAAACTTCATAAATTCACAAAAATAATATTTATTTCTCGTTTCAATCGTTATTTAGAGTTACTTCAATACTGTTGGTTTGGGGTTGCAATGCTTAGCATTGCAAAATTATCGGAAAAATGAATAAAAAAATATTTAAATTTTAAAATTATACACAGATGGCGATTTCGACCCAAGAATTTACAGAACGTTAGCAGAGTTGATTGTGCGACAACAGTGATTGGTTCAAAAATACCTTTTCCAATATGTATTGCACCAACGGCATTTCATCGTCTGTGTACGCAAGAAGGTGAATTTTGTACTGCAAGAGGTAAAGTGACTGCAGCATATATTTCGTTCAATATTATATATCGCAAACATTAACTTGCTAGTTTCATACTTATGCAATGATTTTTATTCAGCCGCCGAATCACTTGGTGTAGGAATGGCAGTGAGTTTATGGAGTAACAAAACAATGGAAGAAATTGCATCTGATGTGCCAAACTGCATAAAATGGTGCCACGTTCAATTATCCAAGTTTGGTGTGGGAGTATCAATTATTCAACTTATTCATAGTAATAAATATTCGTGCTTACATTTAGTAGTCTGTAAACATAAAACATACACTCTGATTAAAGTACTCCCGTTATTTTAGTTCTATTAGTTCGGAAACTGCCTATGTTAGCCCCCTGCCCATAGGTTTAAGTCCCTTCATACAACTTGATGTAAAATATGCGAACAAAAATAGTCATCTCCATATTAGTAAACACTCCGAGCGCTCCGATTAATTCAAGCAACAATTTAACGATGACTAAGAAAGCATCAAATTCTCTAAAATGAAATACTCGGTTATTCAAAATCAGTTTATTCATTTCGAACATATAAAGTTTGACATAATACTGGATATAGGAAGAGTTTTGAAAAGTGACTCTACGCTCGTCATCAAACCACGACATTCCGAATTCATAATTGAAAACCTCCTTAACTTAGAAAAGAATGACACATGTAATAAATGTTTTCCGACACATGTATTTGAGGTCTCTATTTAGTCTAGATTCGCTAACACTTTGCCTTATTAACATACAAATATTTCATAGAATCGTAATTTAACAAAACATTTTGTAAGAAGAGCTGAGCAAAACGGATTCAAAGGATTTATTGTAACTATCGATGAACCGGTTTTTAGAAATCGTACTCACAGATACGAAGACGGAAGCCCATTTACCTTTAAAACATCTATTGTGTAAGTATTATGTATACAGAATACAGGTATTTAGACTTAGGTGAAAATCAATCCGGATCATTAAACTACTTTAATTTTTAACCTTTTTTGATTCGATTTAATTCTGGTCTTTGTAGAAGCAGAAATATTGCACAATCAATCAAATTTGTGGAACCCGATAAACCGCATTTTGCTTCTTTCCAATCCTGGATGGATGGGAGTGTTGAATGGGACAGTATTGATTGGTTGAAAGATATTACCATTTTACCTGTTGTGGTTAAAGGAATTCTGACAGGTAGGCTGCGGTTGTAATTTTGAACTACCTTATTAAGGTATTTTACGTTCTAAGCTTTGTATTGCAAATACGAAGACCATAATTGCATAAAACAGTGAATAAAAAACATTTTTTCAAAAATCATTTCATCCTGTTTATATTAAGGGGAAATGGCACTTAAAGCTGTTGATCACAAAGTTGACGGAATCATTGTCTCAAATCATGGCGGGAGAATATTGGATAGTACATTCGCGACTGTGAGTATACATTGATATATAATGAGATATATATATCAGGTTTTGTTCTGTTATCGCTTCGACGGATTCATACAATAATTATCACAGACCACAGTGTTTTAACATATTCCGACAACTGCAAAAATTGTTTTTAATTTTCCATATTTTGTTTTTGTCTTACAACTTCTAGCTATTGTGATAGATTTTTTTATTTTATCAACTGAGATAAAAAAAAAAAACAAGAGAGAAAATTAGAAAAGCATGCGGACGTCTTTTCTCGCGCGACGAAAATATAAACTTATATCTGTATTGTAAAGTCCAAGGTATCATCGAAATAGGGTTTTGATGCCCATCTGTGGATTCTCTTTGAAACTCTAGTTCGTTATATACCAAGGATGATAGTAGTATATGATGTTGTCCAGAATTGGTAAATTACTCCACAATACTCCACAAATACTCCACAAATACTCCACAAATACTCCACAATACTCCACAATGCTCTTACTCCACATTGCTCCACATTCACATTGCTCTACATGGACAGGACATGTTCACTTTTTCGGTAAGGTATTAGAGTATTCGCTAGAGTGGTCAGGGGTGTTTCTCTTTCGCTCGATAAGACCTTGACATGAGAATTGGGGAGAGAGAAAAATCGCGCTATTGTTTAAATTTCGCCCTTTAAGTTATAAGACTTCGAGGAATTGGGGAGAGAGAAAAATCGCGCTATTGTTTAAATTTCGCCCTTTAAGTTATAAGACTTCGTCAAACTGGGGAGAGAGAAAAAGTCGCGTTATTGTTTTAACGGGGTGGAATCGCTTGTCGCGTTATTGTTTAAACGGTGGTGGAATCGCTTGTATAATAAATAAGACTTCGGCAAACTAGGGAAAGAGAAAAATCGCGTTATTACTTTATGGGGGTCGTATTTTCGCTTTCTTGATCGATAAGACCTCAGCGTGAGGAAGTGAGTTACCGTGAATAATTAGATAATAAAACTGCGTGAGAAGATCTGCGCAATCGTTTTGTTTAAATGGAATAGTGTCTTATTATAAACGAAGAAAGAGTTTGTTGAAACTTGATCAATGCGAGAAAAACATCATGATTGCTTGACTATGATAAACTGTTTACTTTGAAATATTCTGACGCTTATGAAGAAAATATCAGCTATGTTTGTAAGTGAATCTGCGCAATCGTTTTCTTTTAATGGCTTGTGCCGTAAACAACAAGACTTGCTGTGAAGCGCTGTTACACTGTTTGTTTTTATAAAGAATGTAAAAGAGAGAAAAATTATTTACAGAAAAATCTAGTTATTTTTACAATTAAACAAAATCGGAAATATATCACTCCGTGAATTTATAGGAAAATTAACTAAACAGTGGTGATACAGTAAAATGAAACGAAACCTTAAACAAAGGAATGAAATATGAAATGCGAGTGGGATTGCTGAAAATTTGACGATGAATATTATCCGGTTATTTGTTAACGTATGCTTTTTTACTAAATATCTCATTAAATATGATGAAATAGATTCAGCGTGACAAGTAAACCCCCCATCTGGTGCTTATTTTTTATTGGAATATTGTTGCGATTATGAATAAAAAGTCGGTTAGGTTTTTAAGGTTTGCAGCTTTAATAACAAAACTAACGCAGTATCCACCATTTCGTGTAGTATCAGACCACATAATTTATTTTATACCACTGGTCGTACTATGCGGGGCGGCTTTGTAGTTTTAACATATTGAGACTGTTGTGTGAAAGGTTTCTCAAAATGAAGAAAATGTTTTATGCTTTGGCGTGCGATTAATTTTAATGAGTGAAGTAGAAAAGTTTAAATGTTAATTGAACTGCGGTAATTCTTGCGATGGTATCTAATTATACACCATAAAAATTCAGCATGCGTTAATTTATTAGCGTGTGCATATTTATTAACAAATCTTCAAATGTGGCAAATATTGAATGCTCAGTAATGAACTAATAAAATTATTTTGTTAATACTTCTGACATTTGATACATTGGTATAAATTTTATGTAAAGATAAAATGTTGATTAAGCAGTTGGAAAGATTATTTTTTTGCTTGGATTTTGTTTAGTCGACCAGAATGAAAGTTGTATTGCCCGTAACCGATTTGCTGAAAATTGACAGAGCTGTTTCTATTTTAGTATTTTATTATGATAGAATTGATTTGGCGCCGTATTACACTCGGCAGAGATCAGCAGAGGCAGTAGCTACGTATTATGCATATGGGTGTAACCATGTTACGATACTAAAATATCGCTATGGCCATGATAAAAATTGCAAAGATTTTGTTTTCATTCATGAAACATGTATACAAACAAATAGCGGTTACACACATGTATATATGTCCCGAAAGTTGATATATTCCAAACAGATTGTGAGACACATGACTTTATTCAAGTATCTTACTTACACGTAACAATATACATATTGGGTTTTTTAAATCATTTCTTATTAAAACATAACTCAGATTATTCAACCGTGATTAATTCGATGACGAATATGATTATCATGTGACAATAATGTAGTATCGCGAAATTATTTTGCACTTAGATTGATGTGAGTGAGAAGGATTCTGATATTTAGAGTATAGAGTTGTTTCAGTATATGAGCTGTTCAGTTCTTAAATTTTGTTTCATATGCATGAAAGAGAAGTTACGTAGAGATTTCGCATTGTCGCAAACGATTAAACAAAATCGGAAATATATCAATCCGTGAATTTATAGGAAAATTAACTAAACAGTGGTGATACTGTAAAATGAAAATAAACTTTAAACAAAGGAATGAAAAATGAACCGCGAGTGGGATTGCTGAAATTTTGACGATAAATTTTATCCGGTTATTTGTTAACGTATGCTTTTTTACTAAATATCTCGTTAAATATGAAGGATATTTAATTATTGTTAAAAGATTGAAGAAGAATTTGAATTATTTTATTTTACTTGAATGTTTTGGTATAATATTAAATTGTTAGATTTTATGTTAATGTGGAAAATAAATAAATACTTCTTGAAAATTCATATTGGAAATACGAAGTGACTTGTGGTGCAGCTTTCGTATATCTGAAGAGAAATATTGTTGTCTACTGATTTGTTTTTATAAGTTGATGAAGTTGTTTATGAGGTGTTAAGAAGCGGTATGAAGGTAAATCGTTTGCTTTGTAGCGTATAATTGCTACACATTACATGTTGCATTGGAGTTGCGGAGTTGTTCATGGCGGGCCTCTAAACTCGGTATGGGGTATTTTATGATTTATATTTAGCATAACGGTTTGTACATAAAAAATTACTCAACTGCGTCCAAAATGTAGAGCCACGAGATTATTTGTGACGTCGCTTATGGGAGATATGATCGTAATTTCATGTATTCGCGCCTGGACGTTGAAGTGCATTTTTAATAAATTTTGATGAAATTGGTCATGGCAGCGTTTATGAACTCTATAAGGGAATTTCAGCGTTTATGTTCAAACATATTGTTGCGGTGCATTGAAGGTTATTCTGTTATAATAAAGTTAATTTTGTAATTTCGTGATGTTGTGTGTAGCGTTGTTTTTAAAAATACATTGTAACGCGTTTACCATCTACCGGTAATTCAATAAAGAAGATCAAATCAGAATAAGGTTGAGATGTTTAATATTTTGGTATTATGCTCAGATTAGATTACTGATAACATTTTACCCAATTTAGGTGAATGTAAAACAACTAATTTTATACGTTTCATCTCCGCATAATAAAATTGAATTTTTCCAACTTGTTGCGGTAACAAATACGGTTGCTTTCAGTAAACATCATTGAAAAGTAAAATAAAATCAGTACATGGTAAACACTTTTAAATCGTAATTCTAAATATAGCAGATACTGTTATTTATATTGTAGTATAAGGCCTTTATCGTTGTCAGAGAACATTTATCAACTATAACTATTTTAAAATTAAATTTAATATACATGAATGATTGGATGATTAAAAATTTGTAACGGGTTTAATGATCCGTAATGATACACATTTCATTCTCTAAAACGATTCATGCCGCCCAAGTGCGTAGTTCTAAATTTTGAATTTTCAATGTGGATCGATTATTTGTCATGTATCTTTATTTTTGAGTCAATATGACATTGTATTGATATTTAATTCATAATGTCATTGTTGCTTCATATTGAAATGCATTTTTGATATATGTTTACCAGTTAATTACTCGGTTGTTGTAATGTATGATTATTTACGGTTAATATTATTTTTTAATAAATGTATATTCGCACGTTATTTCTGTAAAGTAAAATGACCAAATGATTTCAAATAAACTTTTTGTGATAAAAAAATGTAAAATGCTGAAAGTGCAGTTAATATCTCGGAGTAATGGAAATATTTCAAATGTTTCTGTTTTAATGTGTGATTATTTACGGTTAATATTATTTTTTATTAAATGTATATTCGCACGTTATTTCTGTAAAGTAAAATGATTATGAATTACTAAATGATTTCAAATAAACTTTTTGTGATAAAAAAATGTAAAATGCTGAAAGTGTAGGCAATTTATCAGTTAATATTTCGGAGTAATGGAAATATTTCAAATGTTTCTGTTGTAGTGTATGATTATAATGCTCGCACGTTATATCTGTAAAGTAAAATAATTATACATTACTAAAAAGCTTTCATAACAAACTGTTTTTTTTGATAACAAAATGTAAAATGCTGAACATGTAGGTAACTTATCAGTTAATATCTCGGAGTAATAGAAATACTTCAAATGTTTCTGTTGTAATGTATGAATATTTACGGTTGATAATATTTTTATAGAATGAATACCAGCACGTTATTTCTGTAAAGTAAAATAAGCATACATTGCCAAAAAGCTTTTACAATGAACTTTTTTATGATAATAAAATGTTGAATATGTAGGCAATTTATCAGTCGGACCTCTTGAAGTATGCGCACCAAGATGGCGCACAACCTGAACCTGATCTCGGAGTAATAGAAATATTTCAAATGTTTCTGTTGTAATGTACGATTA